TTTGGGATTAGACTGAAGAAAATATGATTTTGGATCTGATTTAGGTGTTGAAATGGGTTTCAATGTGTGAGAACTCGTGTAAATGGAAAATTGGAATTTTTGGCATGCTCACTAGCCATACACGTACGAGGGGCACTCCCGGAGGCCGTATGCGTAGTACACATGCCTTATCCCCAGAGCCAGCACAACCTTTTTTCAATACACGTATGATACGCATATGGTGGGGTGGCCATACATGTACGGCAGGGTCAGTACGCGTAGGGGTGGCTTTTGGGGGAAGTCATACGCATATGAGCTAGCCATTACGAGTATGGGGAATTTTGAAGGGATTTTGAGAGGGAAACCCTCTCTGGCCATACCCGTATGTGACTGTGATGACACCGCATGCATTCTGTAGTGTCAGTGAGTCGTATTGCATATTTATATATGATTTAATGTGGGCTGCTTATGCCGAATAATGTGGTGTGTTTTGTGTGAACTACTCCTTGGCATGTTTTTTCACCGTATATTTATTGAATGTAGTTCTCACTCCTTTTTCTGTTTGTTATGTATGTGCTCCTTGGGGAGTATAGATGATCAGGTACCTGAGTAGTGCTTGGAGCATTGTGTTGCTATTTGATCGAGTCTTAGGAGTCGCTCTGATACGTAATAGGGGAAGGATGCAGATTTCGTTATGTTTTCATGTTATTTGACTTGTATTTGTTACGTATCTGATTTTTATTCAATTATTGTGAAATCACGTATTATGTGGGGAATTGATGTATTTGGTGTTTACATGTTAAACCGCTTGATTTAATTCTGCTGGTTATTCATACTACTTATTTTATGGAATAAATAAAATGTGAAGCGCATTGATACTTCACTTTGACGTTGTTTTTGGAATGTGACATCCTACGTGTATTAACTCTAATTTGATTCCGCATTATTTTCGTATTTTTCAATTATTATACGAATGGGTAGAGTAGGGTGTTACAGCGTGCACCGCTATCAAAGTACCAGTCATAGTCTTCGACTGAGTTTTGAGATCTTGAGTAGTTTTTGTCAGTCTTTGTTGAATAATTAGATCTTGAGTAGTTTTTGTCAAACTTATGAAAATAATTTATTGCAATGTGATTACTCTTGCCACAGACTTGACATAGTGACTTTGATGACCTACCCCATCCTCTGCCTCCTCTCCAACCTCTGAAGTTGGAACCTGTCCAATTGTTGTTGGAATTGAACTTGTTGCCTCGGTGGTCAGATTTGTTTGCAACATTTGTTGTTGCAATGAGAGTGAGATTGGTGAGATTATTAAATTGCTCAATTATAATTTCAAAAGTTAGTCTTTGCTGAATAATTAGATCTTGAGTAGTTTTTGTCAAACTTATGAAAATAATTTATTGCAATGTGATTACTCTTGCCACAGACTTGGCATATTGACTTTGATGACCTACCCAATCCTCTGCCTCCTCTCCAACCTCTGAAGTTGGAACCTGTCCAATTGTTGTTGGAATTGAACCTGTTGCCTCGGTGGTCAGATTTGTTTGCAACATTTGTTGTTGCAATGAGAGTGAGATTGGTGAGATTATTAAATTGCTCAGTTATAATTTCAAAAGTTAGAAATTGAGCTTGTGAATCCACCCAACTAAGTGCAGTTTGGTCTTGTAGTTTGACCACTACAAAATTATATTCAGAATCCAAACCATATAGAGTTTGAATGTTCATATTAAAGGTTGAAATCGAATTACCTACAAGTTTGAGTTTGTCAGCAGGTTCTTTATTTTGATTAGATAGTCTTCCATTTTTATTTCTCCTCCTTTTCTGATGTTGTGAAATTCAGACTTTAGATAAATGATTTGAGATCTTGTGTATGCTCCAACCATACTTTGAGCCTCATCCCAAAGTTTTTTGGAGGTCTCGCAATGCAGCAGTTGTGTTGCAATTTTAGTAGCCATCGAGTTTAGCATCCACCCAAGGAGGCGTTGATTATTAGCTTGTCATTCTTCAAAGGCAATGTTGTTGTTCTTGCTTGAGTTTGAAGAGGTAATGAATTTATTAGGATACCTTTTCGTTCCCAACATATATCCATCGAGTTCGGATCCTCTGACCACTGGTAGAACCAGAGATTTCTATATGGGATAATTGTTTTTGTCCAGCTTGACGGATACAAATAATGGTAGGTCATTCTTGTTGTTGGAGTTGGCAGCGAATGCCATATTTTTCGGATGGATCGAGAGTTTTTCAACTTAATAGTTCTGATGCCAAGATAGAAAACTTGTATTTGTATTTCTTATTATATTATGTGTAGCACAATATATATATATATATATATATATATATATATATATATATATATATATATATATATATATATATATATATATATATATATATATATATATATATATATATATATATATATATATATATATATATATATATATATATATATATATATATATATATATATATATATATATATATATATATATATATATATATATATATATATATATATATATATATATATATATATATATATATATATATATATATACAACGATGTATGAGGGACACGATCCTACAATCAGGATAGTAATATTGAATGTATATTAAGTTTAGAGACACAATATGATGAGTTATAATGACTGTTAATTGCTAACTATGTATAAGATGTGTCGCCATGATATGCATATAATTGCTATTCATGTATAAGATGTGTTGTCATGATATGATCCAATAATCAAGGAATCGTCTCTCTAACTAAAGCAACATTGTGATCGCCTGGATCAATAAAAATAACATTGTGGATATGTTGATACTCTTGAAAAAAATTAAGGTTCTTTTAAATAAATTAGATAAAAGCACACTGAAAATTTATCAAAAGAATGACATGTATTAATATAATTGGTTCCTCAAGGAATGACACATACAATTTTAGATTTTAAAACTTGAAGTGGTTAAAAATCTACACAAATTAAAATCCAAAATTTAAAATTTAGACAGATTTTTAACTTTGATTTTGAACATATATAAAATTGGGTTTGGTTTGATGTGTTTGAGTGCATTTGGATTTCAATCCATAAGTTAATTCGGATTTCAAAATACAGACTTATTTTTTTCTTTGAATTAACATATTCTAAAGAGAATTTGTGTATTAAATGCGTCCAGATTTTAAAATTATTTTTAAAATTTTACTAGGGTACATGAGTAACCTATGGATGTAATGAGTAATGGGGTGTAATGAATAATGTTTTTTTAAATTAAAATTAGTAAAATATTCGTGCATCCGCACCGATCAATTATATGATACGTGTAAAATATATTTGGATACACCTTTAAAATTAAAATGAATAATTATGATAAAAATTCAATTGTATTAGAATATAATTTTGATTACATATGAAATATTATTTAAAATAATTGAACTATTAAAATAAATACATATGGAGTTTTTCATGACGTCATAACTTATGGGTCTTAATTAACTATTAACATCATCCTTAAATAATATCGTAAGTAAGTCTCTTGTCCTTGGTGGAATCCAAATAAGCAAACAATGGTTTTTTTTTTCTTTTTGGTTTCTAACTTCTACTATTGTTTAAATAAACAAATTTCGGGACAAATTGACCTTAAAAAATTTTGTCTACTTTAAACCATATTGTAAACATAGATTCATTTACACTCGAATTGAGTAACATATTTTCAATATGCTCAAAATCTTTTAGAGTACATTGAATCTGTGAAAAACAATCTCTAATACATGGTGTTACACTTGAGTCTTTTAAATGAAGTTGTGACATAAATATACAGTGACACAGATGTCATATCTATTGAGCTATAGTATAAGTGTTTCATTAAATTATTGTTTTTTTTTATATTTATACTAATTAGTAAGTTGTCATTTTGTTTTTGTCAGATTAAAAGTGTAATAACTGTCACTATAATATTTCAACATGGATAAAGATTCCAATTTTAACCACGGGTTGTGCTATTATTTAACCCAAAAAATTAACTTAAAAATTGTTTCATGATTTTATGAGGTAGAAAAATATCATAGTTACACACAATTCAAACCATGAAACAAACGGATCCTCGATTCTCAGGATACACACCCGTCCGTCATTTATGTTTTCGATTTCCTAATGTATAAACTAAGTTCAAACCCTTGACCATTCTCCTCATGGGTTTCGTCGTCATCATCCATCAACTATTGATAGAATCTTCATAGTCAAACCGAAAACGCAGCGCCAACTTCAACCAGACTCTAGAGATGCGACTGCTTAGCCATGGGCCTATTAAGGAGGGAAACAACTTAATGTAGGCATGTTTTTGCACTACATTATCAGAAGGCCAGCAATAATCTCTTTTACCTTCAAAAGCATGGCAAGTAAATCAATGTGAAATGAGGAGACAAACTGAGTAAACTTCCCCATATAAGAATGACATTGACCCTGAAAATTAAAGTAATTGAGATGAAGACATATATTATGACACTTATACTTAATATTTTCTCACTTTCATAAATTCAATCCGAATAAAAACTTATACTAATCTCGCTAGATACATCTCCTATACTTAAAACCCGAGTAAAGATCAAAAGTTTATGACCTTCTCAAATGGTAACACGCAAATCATTGTTCCATGATAAGGACGGGTTTGGCCAGTGGTACATACAGAAATACAAAACAAAATTTAAAGCGTGGTCTAAGTCAGGCAGCGCAGACATTATTAATTTGACATGGGTGCCTTTGCACTGGTGACCTTAAGTATGGTCAGATAGGAAGATACATATCTCATATTTTAAAACTGAAGAAACATAAATATTACTGATGACATGCAAATATGAAACTGGTTCTCGGGATTCTACATCGATACTTGAGCTTGGTTATGATCCAAGAAGGCTGACAATAAAATAAAACATTCGAATTACTAGTAAATTCATATATAAAAATCAAATAAAGAAGGCATAGAAGTATAGGAATAAGGAATTACCCCTCCGTTCTGCATGAGTTCTTTCTTCATTGAGAGGCTTCAAACTCCTGAGGGTTAGATGCATTCTCTGAAGTTATGCCGAGACTGCTTTTAACTTGATTCACAGGCTGGACTGCAAAAGATGGACGGTGATTCTCTAACCCAAGGGGAGAAAAGTGTTGATTACATCTCAAGTCCTCCTCTTGTAAGCATCTCATGGAGAAGTCCACTTGGTCAGCTGCTTTGTTTTCACATTGCACCTTAGTTGAAATGGGTGACTCCAATTTGTCAGAATAATTTCCTGTTAACTCCAAAGGCCTATGAAAGAGTAAACGAGCCACAGTTCGATCAATGGAATTCGTCTCTGTTTCAACATCAGGCATCCTGGCATATCTGTGATACCAACATGGTTCATTAAGTAAACATAGTTGTTAAATGATGGAAACCAAAAATTAAGGAATATAGAATAACATCATTATTAGCTGGAAAATGAGCTAAAGCTCTTACAACAGTAAAATGAAAGATACAAGTGTAGAAGGGAATGAATCCCAATCTACCCCCGAGCCAAGCTCCACAGAGATGGAGAAAAATCTCTGCCTAACCATAATGGTTCATTGAATAATCCTTGTATAATCAACACAATTCACCCACCTCATTGTTTATACTACTATGGCATAACAAACTTGCCAACTAAGAGCCTACCTCACTCACTCCTTATTACATTTTTTTCCTTATCAACCCTCATTCGGGTCTCTATCATTAAACATCTGGACAGGGCAATCAAGGAGGTGATGGTAATGTACATTACAAAAAATGTTGGAATCGATTGTTTTTGAAAGGCAAATACACTTGAACAGTTTTACAGGATAAAATGCTGTCCTCTATAATAAGATAGCTAGGAAAAGAAATCCTACTTAAGTCATGATAAGTGATCATTTAAACAACCAAGGCCATGTCTATTCTGCACAGCACCAACCAACAATTTACATGGCCTAGTTAACAAGAAATCATCTAAGTTAAACCTACTCTAAGGTTAAGCGGCTGTGATTGAATGTAACTGTGTTGTGAGATTATGGAATCAACTTTATAGATATGTACATCCAAATGACTTTTTAGTCCCTGTAGTAAACACTGTTTCCAGTTTAGACCCCGTAAAAATTCTTGTCGGTTTTATTCCTATAATATATATTGTTTGGGTGGGTTTAGTTCTAAACTTACTTTTCATCCTCATTTGTTTTAGTCCTTACTCCACATACTAAATCAATATGGTTCATGATGTATTACCAGGAGTGACTCAATATGGGCAAATATTACGGGACTCAGATCAAAATTAAAATGGACCAAAAACAACTATTCCTAAGTTTCATGAACCCGAACCATCGAGAATTTTTATAGGAACAAAGGCCGAAATTGATGTATTACAAAGAATAAAAAGTTTTTAAGCCAAATTATTATTTCAGCTCTTTCCTCCGTTTCCCAACATTTTCTCACACTTCATAATAGTTTCACTTGGTTCTCCAATTCCTTAGAATTCATTATTTAGCTTTTGGAACTGTCCGTCATAGATAAAATAATAATACTGAATTCATAATAATTAGTGGTGTATTACTGTGGCTTTTCTAACCTGTCCTGGCTACTGCTTTCTTTTGCAAAAAATTCATACTCCTCTTTGTTATTGTTGTTTGTACTGCTTGTGTCACTAGCATAATGCCTTTGCTTTGCACTTTGTGCCAGCCGAAACAAACTATCTCTGATGCAGAGTCTTGTTTTGACATCTAACTGTAAAAAAAGTTTGCCTCGGGATTGAAGCCATGTCCAAATTAGAATACAACGAAATAATTTTACTGCAAGCATACATCAGAAAGTCACAACTCAACAATACCTTTGATATAACATCCTGAATCCTGTACAGTATGGTTTCTTCAACAAAATCATCATCAATTGCCAAAGATATTGTATTAGAATCATCTTGTTCAATTGGAGGAAGAGTTCTTAAATCTTCAATTTTAGGATCAGTCCCATCACTAAGATGACTTTGAATTTCTGGGCGGCCTTTTTGAGCGACAGATTTACTAGTGCTAGGAACTTGGTGGCCCAGTACTTGCTGCTGTTTCTGAATAGCAAGCATTGCTTGCATTTGCTGCCGCCGCCTCAATTTTTCAATTTTTTCCTGAGGAGTCATAGTTTGAGGATTGACTGAGCCTGCATAATTGATAGGATTCACCGAAGCAGGAGATGTTTCATACCCAGAGAGCACAGGCTGATGCCTAAGATTTCCCGACTGAATCTGTGATAGCATTGGCATAGCAGGATATGCATTAGTAAGGTTACCATACACAGAAGGTGCTGCATATGGATTTATGATGTTCTGATATAGTGTTTCAGGTCCTTGGAGTTGCTTCTGTTGCCCAAGAATTGAAGAGGGGAAAGATTGTAAGACAGAAGGTGTCAATTGATTCTCATATTGTCTTGCCGATGTTGCTGAAGAAGACCAATTCCCATTATAATCCTGCAAATCTTTTCCCTCTTGTTTTATCAGTGATTTTTTCTTGATTTCCAACTGATTCGTTTGCCTAAAACTCTGCATATATATAAAATAACAGAGAATAAATATTTTGATGGATTTGAGAAGTATACAGGTGAAATCCTTGGCACATGATTATGTAAAGGGGTGGAACCATTTAGAGAAAATCATGCAAACTAAATAAAACAGATTGCACAAAGAAAGATATAACAAAACCAGTGCTTCCTTAAGAAACTAAAATGCAACTAGAAACTTCTAAATATATGAGAGTCGGAGAAAGAAGAAATAATATGTCCTAACATAACGGGATCATGTAGTCTAAAGGACAAAATGAAAATTTATTTGTTCCATTATACAGATAGAGAACTCAATAATGGACTGTCGTTGAAAATTACTTGACATACCTGCTGCTCCTTTCCAGTAAGCTTACATCTATCTCCAGCACATTCCACATTATCAGTTGTTGTGTGTGAATTTTGTATACTTTGATATGCAGGACCAGAAATCTTCTCGTAACTCAGGGAAAATGATTGATCACTGCAATGAATGTGTTCTTCTTTGATTTCAAAATGCCCTGATCTACTCCTTAAAGCATCTGTGGGATTTGGTGCATCCAAGGATGCTGGTGCTTGATCGTTACTCGCATCTTTAGCAGACCAAAGCTCATCAGAATTATCAAGACTTTCATGGCCAAATATAGGGTCTTCATTGCTGCAAAATCATCACTTGTGAGAATATTCAGTCAGATAGATGCCGTTGTAAAATAGAAAGACTAACAACTATAAGGACAGAAGCATGTCAGCTATTGTTTACTGTTACTCAGGAACTTCAATACTTCTTACCATTGTTGCCCATCGCGTGCACATATGATGAATGCCAATGGGAAGTAAAAATACCCATCGACAATCATCAAAGTTCAAAAATTAGAAACATGAAGCCATGTTTCCTATTTTAATGAGTAAAGGTGTTCCAAAATTTAACATCAGAATCAACCCTTTTTCACTTTGAATGATTTTACTTTACTATCGCAGCTACAACTGCATAGCTGCACATAAGTTTCAAGGAATAAATTTGAAGGGACTTAAACTAAGATGGATCCGTTTGTAAACAGCTGTGAAAAGTGGTGAATACAACAGTTAGGCTAACGGGAGAGTTTAGTCCATTTTAGACTTCAGAAATTCTGGCAAAAAACAATACAAAGAAATCCATGACAATTGTGATCATAATGGTACAATGCTATCAGACATATGCTTGTATCAGATCAGATATAGAATAATATAGATAATCTACTTTACCTGAAAATTCGATCAAGGTCAACAAAACTTCCTATGTTAGCCCAGTCGTAATCAACAAAATCACCTTGTTCTTTCCCTTCGTCGGCATTTTGAAAAAATTCGGCATCATTCTCGTGATGTGTGGTCTCTTCTGTCAAACATTTATACAATTAGGAATGGAAAAATATAGCTAATAGCATGCATGTTCATTATTTTTCATATTATGACGGTAGGATGCAAGCACAAAAAAACATCAGCAGACAGACGCCTGCACAAACAAAAATGCATAGACAAATATGAGACAAGCTATCTACTATAATTCCAGCAATTAGCAATTTTACCACCTCTTGATGTACTGAATTTGCTAAGTTCACCTTGATTTTTAGATAGGTCATTTCCCAGAGGACACTGATCAATTTTAGCTGCACTGGATAAAGACAAGTCCGACCATGAGCTTTCTCCATATCCCGTGGCAAGTAGTCTTCCACTATTATCAAGGTTCAAACTGCTTCCTGGTTTTCTGTGAAAATCAGTTTTCGTTTCAGGTTGCTTCCGCTTGGTAAGCTTACACACAGCTGGTTCCTGATTCAATTCTTTCTTGTTTCTATAATCTTCACTTTTCTCCGGAAAAGGCACAATATGGTCATCACTCTCACCTCCCTCATCCCATATTATATTAGCAAGCTGAAAATTTTCCATTATTAAACATTGATATTATTGACATCGTGGAAGAAACAAAATAAGAGTACTCTTTAGATGTTCATAGGCGCAAAATAAGTAGGCAAAAGGAAGAAGGGAAATGCGTGAAGAATGGGGATTAGACAATATAAAATTCCACGTGAACTTTATAACCAGGTATGACATCAATTGAGAAGGAAAAGAGATGAAATACATGATGGGATTTGTGTGTCTAAATTACAAATCAGATATACAAAGAGCCATAATAAGGATTCACAATAACCCCAGTTGTAATAATTACATAGAATCATTTTGGAACTATTCCATTTACGTTATCTCTAACACTACCCCTCAAGTTGTGCGCCAAGCTTACATACGTAATAAATTCAAGGACCTCAATGACTTAACGAAAACACCTCCTATTCGAGGCTATGGCTCAATAGCATTATGTTTCTTCCTTTTCCAAAAGATCTTATTATCACTAATAAAAATGCAACAATTCACATTCCAAGATATATTAAGGGAGCTCTAGGAAAAAAGTTTATTGTATGAAGACAAAGATCATACAAGACAAGTATGATATTCTAATTGCAATTGTATATAATCAGCCAAAATTACCCTATTTACATTATTCTAAAAACATAATTTCTATAATTCAAAGGATGACAATGTGTTTGAGCCAACAAAGAATTCATCAATTTTATAGTTTACTTCAGTGAAATACTCAGCTGTTTCCATACCTCATTAAAATTTGTAAACTGGCTATGACTAACAGAATATAGTGGAAGCTTGACTCGATTGATAGCATAAAATATTGACTCTCTTAACCTTAGGACCTTGTCCTTTACCTTCTACCAAAACTATTGCTGGTTGCCAATTGATCATTACTGTCAAAATTGGTCTTGGAGGAAAAGTTTACTGAATAAGCAAGGTGTGCAGATTAAGCAGCTTAACAAAAGTTGATGGAATACCTTATACCCATTAACACAGTCACGTAAGGCTTGAATTAGGAGTTTTGGTCTCCTAGGATACAGGTAAAGTTACACTTGTTCTCAAACATTACAAAAAAAGATTAATCAAGAATAACCGTCCTACAAGTATTAATCCCCCAATATTGTATAGAAACCCTAGGAAAGTGAGATAAGCCTTTTCTTTCTTCCAAAAATCCAAACTCTCCCAACAAACATAGCCAAGGTGGAAACTAAGGATCCAGTAACACTCTTTAACAGACATGTTTCCTTGTTTGGTGTTGAAAATTTTTGTTTTTAAGTCATAGCTGGTAGAGAAATCCTACTTAAAGGAAAAAGTCGGTAAAGATTATCACAATAACAGAGTTCCACAACCAGACACCAAAATGAGTCTTCATCCATTGGAGCAGCTCCCTTCAATATGATCCAACTTTCTACGACCCTTGAGATTCATGCAAATATACTGAGCCCACTGCAATTTCCATTAGGGATGTCTGTGTCATTAAGTGTGGGAAAAGCATTACATGTACCGAAAAAGTATTACATATCAGGTAATATGACCTGGATTCTCCCTGAGTAAACCCTTTCATAAAACACTTGCTTACTAACATTTTTTGCTCCCTATTTTTTCTTTCCTATCAATTATGATCAAATGCATGAGGATGGTCCTTATTTTATGAAAGGGTTATGGATTATGGTCCCTATATATTTGCTCATGTCAAATAAAATTTATCATCTGTAAGATGGTCCTTATTTATTCTCTCATTATTACAATTAATTAGCTATTGAGCAATTTCTATTTATTCCCTCAATTACCTGTTTATTTACTATATATTCCTTCAATTGACTACTAACAGTTTTGAGTCCTAATCCTCTACTTCTGACCCTGCTATACAACCAACAAAGGTGACAGATAATCAAAAATCACCTGAAAGACTAATAGAATTTTTTGCAAAAGATATTGTTATATCACCTCATACTCTTGAGTTTTCTTACATTTCTCTAGGTTTCTTGACCATTAAGTTAACCTCCTGCTACACCCATGAGTCCAAAACTTGATTTAAGGTATCTGGTAGTGACTCTAGTCATGGGATATTAACCATAAATTATACTCTTTTATTACCGTTTCTAGATCAGAGTCAAAGCCTAAAAATTTACCATAAACCTTTCAGGCTTCAGTCCGTCACTCAGAGTTCTATTGAAACACAGTTCCTTACCTCCTTTCACAATTCCATCGACGCAATAGTTAGAGATGAGAAAATCAGTTTCCATAATATTGCTTGTTGGATAACTATAGCTTATTGTATATTCCCGTCTCTTTTCACTATATAAACCTATATCATCTATATTCAACAACGGAAAATTCTGAGCTCTCACAAACAGAATGGAAAATGTAGAAACGGAATAACCTGATTTCCCCCATCTGAAAAACACTTTCAAATAATGTACTTCCTCCCTGAAAGAAACCAGATTCGGATTCAATATACCCCTCAATTATTTCCCCTTTAACTTTCTGTACTTTGCCCTTAACTTATATTAGCTTAAATAATTCTACAACCATCAAATCAAAGGCGACTTCTAGGGTAGAGAAGTGTCGCATGTGGTCTATGGGGGAGCAATGAGTAAAAGTTGTCTGAAACTTTAACAACAATCAATGCAGCTCTCCGTAAGTAGAAGCACGTGATACTCTTCAGCCTAACAACTATGACAGTGACCTAGCTGGGTGTCAGTTCAGCAAAAAAAACAAATAATGGACACCGATAAGGCCACTCTGTCTTCAGTCATAAGCACGTGAAATACCCTAAACTCTTCACCCTAACAACTATGACAGTGACCTAGTTGGGTGTCGGCTCAGCAAAAAAAACAAAGAATCAACACCGATAAGGCCACTATGTTTTCAGTCGTAAGCAAGTGAAATACCCTAAACTTCAACTTAAAAGTAACAATGTCAACCGACGTCAAAGTTTTGGGAGATTTTCAATCATCGGTCCACGTAGACCTCATAAGACCAATATTGTCAATTGTGGTTAGCAGAAAATAGCAGATTGTTACAATCCCACTACACAATAGTGATATTATTGGACAACATTTTGTACTAAATAGCATATCTTGAAACAATAGAGGTTTGTCCGAATTCCACTAAACTATAGCGGCGCCGCTATACCGACTATTTAACAACATTGCATATGACACTTGCCCAATCTAGCAATACTCTCAAAACAAATTTAAAACAGAGCAAATTCTTTCTCTCTCTCATTCTAGTTCAGAGATTTGTCACAATTCTCAATATTTGCATCTTAAGTTATTCAATCCCTAGAAACGTCATAAACATTTCACCAAAGTAAAATCCAAAAGCTAGACATACTAATAGAAGACAGTTTCCAACTACACAAACAACCCCTTCCCCTCAATAATCTAATAATTCCTTGTTTAAACCACCACAGACTAACACACAGCAAATCATCAAATTCATAGCAATACAAGCTATGTAGCACCAGACACATCAGAGAACAGGCGTGTCCGTGTCAGTGTCGGTCTCCGAAACCAACACCGACACTTGTGATAAGGATTAATTTCCTCTTTTTTTTCTTCAAATTATTACCAATGTCGATGCATCAGTTTCGGTGTCTTACTTCCGGTTTTCATATATAACAAGAATCTCATCAAATCTAATACTAACACCTAAAATTCACCAAATAAAGAATAAACCAAAAACTTAGTCCTAAAATATATAAAAGTAATAAGTAATTCCTAATATAAACAAAACCTATCATTTTCATCCATGAAGTATATGAAATACTCTCTATTTCAGAGATTAGTCTGAAAACGTCACTTTAAGAACTAAATTGAAAGTTCATTCCAAAGTAAATCAATAAATAAATAAATATCGATTATTGAGTTAGAACAAATTTGAAATAAAAACTCCAAAATTAACAACAACAGAAAAAAAAATTGAAAAAAATTTACTCACTTCTTCGTCGTTCCAATCAAACATTTCTTATAAACTGATCAAAGCAATCCACAAAGCTGATACCGGAATCAAACACTAAACGTCGAATTATCTCAATCATCGCCGGAATCACCACAAGCTCATCGAGAATCGCACACCGGAGAAACAAAACCGCGTCGTTTCACAGTTCACATATACAGCAACAGTACCAAATAGTAACAAAAAGATGAATAATATTCCAATCGAGAAACGGCACCGGAAAATTTCTAAAGAGAAGAAGAAAAACGAAGAGAGTGTATGAATAGGATCGAACTGAGTGACGTAAGATTAGACGAATGGTGTAGAAACGGAGCGTGGGGCCCACGTGGGAAAGGAAGCGTATCTAAAGTAGTGGCTTGAAATGGCTCCATCAAATGCTGTGATCTTATTGGTTAAATTTTTTACTTTTTGTGATTTTATTATTTAGTTTATTTATTTTTAATTGCGGATTTTGTTGTTTTGGTTGGGTTTGTATGAGCTGTGTGAGGAGCATGAGGACCTTTTTTATGGCTCTCGTTGTTTTGGAAGTCGCTTTCGTGATTGTGTTGCCTTTTAAGTTGAGGCTGTGGTTATCCAAAGACTATAGACAATATCAACTTGTGTGTTTTGGTCAATAATAAGAAAAGAAAAGGAAAATTATAACTTGCGTTTCAATATATTAATGCTTGATTACATTAATATAACTAATTTTAATGGTTTGAGTTATTTGAGACCAAAATAACACAATGGTCGATTTAATTGCAGAATTTTGGATCTTGAGAGGATACTATCTTAAGATTTTGAGACTGAAGAATGGGTTACATTTGCTCTTCGGTAATAATTTCTGAATATATTTTTAATTCGTGCTAACGTGTTTTATAATTCAGAAAATAATTCAAAAGTATACTTTTTTTAATAACCCTTATTCATTAAATTTGTTATAAATTTGATATTTTTTAAGAAACTTTATATTATAAGTTATTTATATTATGTATGCTATCAAAATAAATTTGTTATCAATTAAGCCATACATATATTTTTATGTAATTCAATTAAAATATCATATATTATAATTGATTCATCATCTATTGTTAGTGTGTGAGGCACCTTTAGTGAGGAGAGAAAAAGAGAGAATAAAGCAATAAGGATTGTATTATTGAATTGAATGATAATAACTGAATTACAAACTATGTATTTATGTACAACTAACTTGACTACTAAGTAAAGTAACAAGCTAAGTAACCAATCCTAAACTCCAATTACCATTGGGCTTAAGCCACACAAACTCAACTTGGATTATATCTAATATCTTAACATACCCCTCTATAATCCAATTTACCGAAACATACTAATCATTGTCGATTTGAACTATTCTTAATTTCTTTCTCAATGTTAGGAACATGTCGATATTCAATCCTTTGGTGAAAATGTCGGCTAATTGTGTTTCACTTGAGCAATGTTTTACTTCAAGTCCAACTTGATTCACCTTCTCCCTTAAGAAGTGAAATTTAAATTTGATGTGTTTACTCCTTCCATGTAAAACCGAATTATTTGCTAGATTTATGGCTGACTTGTTGTCGATATGCAGTACCAGAGGTTTCTTCACTTCGACTTTCATTTCTTCAAGCACGTATCTATCCATATTGTTTGAAATGCAACATAGGATCCTGCTCTATATTCAGCCTCACACAATGACAATGCCACCACAAGTTGCTTTCTCGAGCACCATGAGATTGATGCACCAAATACTTGAAAGAAATATTCATTAGTGCTTCTTCGATCTTCCTTATCTTCATACCAATCAGCATCTGAATAGCAAGTAACCATAACTTCTTTGTTTTCAAAGTCTTTTCAAAATAGAATTCTATAGTTTGTCGATCCTTTTAAGTATCTCAGGATTCTTCTTGCAGTCTTCATGTATGACGCCCTTGTTTCACTCATGTATTTGCTCACTAATATGACTGAGACACATATATCAGGTTGAGTGTTGCACACATATCAATGCCACCACAGGTTGCTTTCTCGAGCACCATGAGATTGATGCACCAAATACTTGAAAGAAATATTCATTAGTGCTTCTTCGATCTTCCTTATCTCCACACCAATCAGCATCTGAATAGCAAGTAACCATAACTTCTTTGTTTTCAGAGTCTTTTCAAAATAGAATTCTATAGTTTGTCGATCCTTTTAAGTATCTCATGATTCTTCTTGCAGCCTTCATGTATGACACCCTTGTTTCACTCATGTATTTGCTCACTAATCTGACTCAGACACATATATCAGGTTGAGTGTTGCACACATATCTTAGAGATTGGATAAATTGTTTGAACAAAGTTGCATCGACTTTGTCTTCATCTCCATGCTTTTCCAAATTCGAATTTGGTTTGATAGGCAAAGATGTAGAAGTCAAATCATCCATCCTAAATCTCTTGAGTATCTCTTTGACATACTTTCTTTGATGCAGCACCATACCTTGCTTCGACCTTTGAAATTCCATGCATATGATGTATGACAACTTTCCCATATCTGACATTTTAAATTCTTTCTTCATCAGCTCTCTGAACTTCGACAAGTTCTTCAAATTATTTCCAGTTACTAGCAAGTCATAAACATATAAGCAGGTGATTATCATATAATGTGCCACAACTTGAACACAGACACCATACTCAAATTTGTATTTGATAAATCCCAATTCGACCAAGTATGAGTTGATCTTCTTGTTCCATGTCTTAGGTGCCTTCTTGAGGCTATAGGGCACTATGTGCAACTTGTATACTTTCCTATGCTTTATAGGTTACTGTAATAAAAACACCAGTTACTCTAGACAAAATGGCATACTCTGAACTCAGCTCAACAATGAAGACATTAATCCAAAATTCTTTGACAAGACTTGGATAAGTGAAACCACATAGCATCTCAAAGTAGTCATTCCAACCTTATTTAGACACAGTCTTCTAGGAGTTGAAACCAATCTTAAGCAACTCATTAAAATTCACAAACTTTTCATTGATGACAACCAACTGTTTCAAAGGAGAATTAACTAAAGAACTCGTCTCAGGTTTGCTTTGATCAACACAAAACCAAGAAGAAAATAAGAAGAAGAAGAAGCAAAGAAAAAAGAAAATAAATTGAACAAGAATCTTATAGGAATAAGAATCTTGTCAGAAAAAGGATATAATGATGTTTTACAAGACATGAAATAGTAACAACAAGTACCAAAAGAGAAAACATCATTACCCAAAGGTTATTATTCAGCAAATATTTCAATTCCACTAGATGAGTTTCACCTTTATGAAAAATTAAGTATTATAAATGCTTTTAGATTTTTTTTACTTAAATTGTTAATTCAGAAGTAAAGAATCTTCTTCTGAATTTTAGAAACTGACAAATTTCAGTGTTATCATCCATCAGAATTTAGTAGAACTAGACTTAGACAGAGATATCAACTGTCAGTCACAGGTCTCTAAGATTCTATTCATAATTAGCACTTTATCTTGAAACAAGAGTCATGAGTGATAGATGAATATGAATTGTCTTCTTTAGACAGCTAACGAGCAACAATATCGTCTCAAAAAGTGAGGAAATTGTTTCCATAAATATGATCATCGTTTGGCTTAATAAGACATCCAGTACAGATAAATACAACAAAGTTTCCTCTTAAAGATTTCTATAGTTATCTTTTTCAAAAGAACTTCTTTAGAAATCTAACAGAAACTTTGTATTTATATTTATACAAATGGCTCATTAAATCAAAAGATAAAGTAGAAAAGAACAAGCATACACTTTTTTTTGTTTTTCCCAGTCAGACTCGATTTAGTATTCAGACTCGATCAATAGAGTCTGAACACCGCTTTGAGTGAATTGTGATTCAATGGCTGTCTAACCACTGACTCCACTACTCTCACCAAACTCAGTACCACCAGTACATGAATCTGGGTTGTTGGATCTTCTTCCAATAATAGTTGTAAACAACTTTATGAAAGATGTCTCTGCTTCTTTCCTTGATATCTGTAGCAGATACATTATGATACTCATATTTCTATAAGACCATACATGTTAGTACAAACAAACTCTTCTTTACCTTGCGTCTCAATCTAATAACAAAATCATAAATCACATAGAGTATAAGTCTATGATGAGATATGATATGAACAAAATATTGTTCTAAGCAGAGTCACTAATCTCATTATCTATGATTAAATATTTGACTCTGAAATCATTGACAGGCTCAGAACCAGATGGTGTTAGCTATCAGAGATTAACACAAATAAAATCAAAGTGCTCTCTTAGTACAACTGTCAGAACTCAAAGTGAAATTGAAGATTTCTCATATAAATGTCTTTTAAAACAACTTCCATGATGATCCTTGATTAAGAAGCAATTGAGTTTCCTAAAATATCACCTTAAGGAACAAACTCCATATAATCAAATATATTGAAGCAAGATAGATTTGACACCATCTCTTACTTTTCAATACTTTATGTTTTTTATTTCAGAACACAGATGCTTCTTTTCATATGCATTCTGCACTAATATCAGCTTCAAAAGTTTAAACATTGAAGAGTGTCTGGTATTAGGTTTTGGTGGTGTTACTTTTTGCTTTCAGATCTGGGAAATCAGTTGAAATACAAATATTTCAGAAGCATATGAAGTTACTCTTCTATCAACAGATATCACGATCCATTCAGCCAATATGGAAGTCCTTCTGACAAGAAACCTAAGTTTCTTATCATTAGTCATTCCACAAAACTTAAGCTAGAGAAAGAAATTGATCAATTGGATAGTTTTTTCATCATCTAACTTAATTTCTTTCTTTTAAAGACTGCAAGACAAACCTTCAGAACACATCAGATTTAAGATGTAAACATCTTGAATAACTGTGATCTTAGATTTAAGTCTTAGAGCAATATTCTCAGAATTTGCTTGAAAGATTAGATGAAGTATAACTGTACAAACTTCAAAAACTGATCCCCACAAACCCAAGCACAAAAATTCAAATTTCGTCCAAGCAAAAGACAAAATAATGA